AACTGAGACTGGAAGAACTGAGACTAGATAAACTGAGACTAGATGAACTGAGACTGGAAGAACTGAGACTGGATGAACTGAGACTAGATGAACTGAGACTGGAAGAACTGAGACTAGATAAACTGAGACTAGATAAACTGAGACTAGATAAACTGAGACTAGATGAACTGAGACTAGATGAACTGAGACTAGATGAACTGAGACTAGATAAACTGAGACTAGATGAACTGAGACTGGAAGAACTGAGACTGGAAGAACTGAGACTGGAAGAACTGAGACTGGAAGAACTGAGACTAGATAAACTGAGACTAGATAAACTGAGACTAGATAAACTGAGACTAGATGAACTGAGACTAGATGAACTGAGACTAGATGAACTGAGACTAGATAAACTGAGACTAGATGAACTGAGACTGGAAGAACTGAGACTAGATGAACTGAGACTAGATGAACTGAGACTAGATGAACGGAGACTAGATGAACGGAGACTAGATGAACTGAGACTAGATGAACTGAGACTAGATAAACTGAGACTAGATGAACTGAGACTGGAAGAACTGAGACTAGATGAACTGAAACTAGATGAACGGAGACTAGATGAACTGAGAGTGCAGAAAGGACAGAAGCCCGGTCATCCTCCTCTGACACCAGATTTATACTGCATGCGTCTCCGCTGCGCAGGTCGCACCTGTGTGTTTCAAGTCCAGTTTACATTACCTCCGCTCCGCTCCGGTCCGACAGCAGAAAGCAGATCACGCGATAAATTCAGTGATAAGTGTTGAAGTCACAGCAAAAAATCATTAATTCTGTGAAAGACGAACTCCAAACACAGCTGAAAACGATATAAAGGCTTTTGGTTTCTATGTTGAAACTTTATCGCTGTCGTCTTTCTGAAACTTCTGATTTCAAAATAAAATCCATGTGTATCGTGTGTGTACACATATGCTTCATGTTACATGTTTCCATCTGCTTCCCAAACAGAATGATACACTCTGACAGTATTTGTGTAGAAATATATCGTATATTTATTAATATAGCTGCAATTTCGACATTATTCTGACAAATTATTCCGCCGAATAGTGTCTTATTTTGAAAATACGGATGTTGTGCTCATGTCTTTTCCTGCTGGTGCGACGTAATCTTTAAAAATTGACTCCGGCGCTGCTCCGGCATCCGGCAAAAATAGGATCTGTTCTAATTTTGAGGGATTGTCGTCCGCTCACCGCCGCCCTGCGCCGCCAGTGTAAACACTCTCATTGATTATAATGGTTGAGTGTTTGCTGCGGAGGTCGGACCAGAGCGGAGCGGAGAAGGAACGCAAGCAATGTAAACTGGGGGTAATGTGTGGTCCCTCTCTAACCCTGCAGACCCCGCCCCTGCTCAGTCACGTGGTACCTACTTCCTGAGGACGGCGATTTCGTTCTCGATGCTCGTCTCCTTCCCCTTCAGCGCCTTCTTTGGGATGCACTTGATTGCGACCATCTTTCCCGTGGCCTTCTCCTGAGCCATCACCACTTCAGAAAACGCACCGCTGTAAGAAACAAAGACGTGTTATTAGTCCCACGTCGCACAAGCTCAGAAAATATTGACATGTCGTCTGTAAATGGAGAGAGGCGGACGAGGCCGGGGTGCACAAACAGCCATATTGTGAGTATTTACAGAGTCCAGTAAGTGGACACTTTGGTCTCGTGCCCAGACACAATCACAGCAAACACATTTAAAGGCTCTAAGAAACAGCCTGTTTAGGAGGGCAGACAGCGTGTCGCCCTCTGCCATCTGTTTCTAAAAAACAAATACAGAATTAAGGGAATATTTGTTCAAGCAATCCACCTGTTGCTATGAGACCATTTAGATAATAAATCCTGATGAGCAGGCCTTCAGTTCATCTTAAGGTCTGGTTTTGAAGGGGTGTTCTGTCAAGTAGTTTTCAATAGTTAGTACCTTATCAACCCTGACATCAGTTATAAAAATGTAGAAAGTAACAAAAGTTTTTATCCAGGACATAGGCTAACAGGGATCATCTGTGTTTCCCAGTACCTACTATTTGTTGTTCTGGGGTTTGAAACTGAAATCATGAAAAATGCTTGGCTCCCCATTTAAAGGGCTTTTATTACTATAGTAATAAAGTGCATGCATTGTACCAGGAAACAAAGGTACTGGGGAACAGAGGTACTGGTAGGGCAGGGCGATATGGCAAAAAAAAATGATCACAATTAATTTTTTCATATCGTCCAATCTCGATTAATATCACAATTTTTTTGTTAACTGTTAAAAAGTGACTAAGAAATAATTTAACAAATAAATATAGCTAAAGAAAAAAATAATGGCTGTTACTTTTACTAATATAACAAATAGCTGTGGTTCAGTAGGACACAAAATTATTTTTGCAAGGTATTTAAAAAGGTATTTACCAAGAAAAAAAACATTTGTGTGTAAATCATAGAATCTCATTAATAAAGTTATCCTTTTGTAAAATTAAAGTTTTACAATTGAATTTCGCATTAAATGTGCCACAAAGAAACATAAAACTACATCAGCAGCAATTTGTGCACACTTGCCAACTGAATAGGATCTAAGCTCATTACTTTTGTTATGGAAGCTGCTCATCACAGCTCACTTTTCTTTTTTTTCCCCTCCCCCTCTCTCCCTCTGTGTCAGGAGGGGAGCTCAGAGCTCACCCTGCATGCCTGTTAGCTGGTAACAGCAGGTACAGGAAGTGACAGCGGCCAAAATATCTCAGAAACGCACCCAAATAAACGAACTCTGTGAGATTCAGCGTTTTATACTGGCTTGCATTTTGTTTAGCTAATTCTGCTACTCCGTCTGCGTTTCATTAGCAACTAATAAATGGAAGTGGAGCAGGAGAAGGTGGATTCTGATTGGCTGTTGTCGCACACATTTCCGCCATGTTTGATTGAGGAAGAGGCTCACAGCTGATCACCGTGATCGACCTGAAATTTTCTCGATCAATAATCGCCATCAAATAATCGCCCAGCCTTAGGTACTGGGGAACAGGTACTGGGGAACATAGGTACTGGGACATATAGGTACTGGGACACATAGGTACGAGGGAACATAGGGACTGGGGAACAAAGGTACTGGGGAACAAAGGTACTGGGGAACATAGGTACTGGGGAACATAGGTACTGGGGAACACAGGTACTGGAGAAAATAGGGACTGGGGAGCATAGGGACTGGGGAGCATAGGGACAGTGGAACAAAGATACTGGGGAACATAGGCACTGGGGAACATAGGCACTGGGACACATACAGTAGGTACTGGGGAACATAGGGACTGGGGAACATAGGCACTGGGGAACATAGGTACTGGGACACATACAGTAGGTACTGGGGAACATAGTGCCTGGGAAAAATAGTGGCTGGGGAACAAAGGTACTGGGAAAAATAGGGGCTGGAACAAAGGCACTGGGGAACAAAGGTACTGGGGACACATAGGTACTGGGATGCATAGGTACGGGGGAACATAGGGACTGGGGAACATAGGTACTGGGACACATAGGTACTGGGACACATAGGTACAGGGGAACATAGGGACTGGTGAACAAAGGTACTGGGGAACAAAGGTACAGGGGAAAATAGGTACTGGGACACATAGGGACTGGGGAACATAGGGACTGGGGAACATAGGTAGTGGGGAACATAGGGACTGGGGAACATAGGGACTGGGGAACATAGGGACTGGGGAACATAGGTAGTGGGGAACATAGGTAGTGGGGAACATAGGTAGTGGGGAACATAGGTAGTGGGGAACATAGGGACTGGGGAACATAGGGACTGGGGAACATAGGGACTGGGGAAATTAGGGACTGGGCAACGTAAGTACTAGGGAACATAGGTACTGGGGAATATGAGGAACTAAAGCATCTATTAAACACAATCCCTTCTTTTCAGGGGCTCAAAAGTAATTAAACAAATCAAACTGTAAATAAAATATTCATTTCTAGTACTTGGTTGAAAAGCTTTTGTTGGCAATGACTACCTGAACTCGTTAACATCACCAGATGCTGTGTTTACTTCTTTTTAATGCTCTGCCAGGCCTTCACTGCTGGTTTTCAGTTGCTGTTTGTTTGTGGGCCTTTCTGTCTGAAGCTCTTTAACAAATGAAATGCTGCTCAATTGGGTTGAGATCAGGTGACTGACTTGGCCATTCAAGAATATTCCTCTTCTTTGCTTTAATAAACTCTTGAGTTGCTTTAGTTTTGTGTTTTGAGTCTTTGTCAATCTGTATTATGAAATGTCGACCAATCTACTAAATGTAGGTACCAGAGAACAAAAGGTATGGAATTAGCTAACTAACCAAAGGAAGGCTTGTTTTAAATCATTTTTCAGGCTTATTAAACAACTCTTTCTATAATAAAAGACAAAGGGGTGAAAGAACGCTACCTTAGCTGATAATAAATCTCTACACTTCAACAATAATGCTCTGATGGAGGTATGTACTCCAACAAGCAATACACTGTTTCAAACTTGTTTTGAACAAATCTTACTCGATTTGTTAGCACTCAGAGATTGAGCTGGGGCCGACTCCCAGCTGCTACCACACTACTACTACTGCATGAAAACTGTAGAACAGAAATCATGTTTAAATCCCACAGAAGAGAATCATGGACAACCCCCACCACCCTCTGCATGAAACCGTGGGGGGTGGCTGAGCAGCTCCTACAGTTAGAGACTTAAACATCCTCACTGCAGGACGGAGCGCTTCCGTAGGTCATTCATTCCAACTGCAGCTAGACTGTATAACAAACACATCATGATGTTATCAGTCACTTGGACAATTCACCTACACTGGCAACCGTAATATGCACCTGCATATATTTCATTTATGTACATTGTTATATATCACGAGTATAGTGGTTGTTGTTGTTGGTTTTTTTACTTATCTTTCTTTATTCTCTCACTCTGTCCTGTTTTGAGCTGCTGTAATGTGCAGATTTCCCCACTGTGGGATCAATAAAGTTTTATCTTATCTTAAGAGGTATTTCAGCAAAAGTTAACAAAAACATTAATTCTGGCTTTGATAGAGCACAGTATGGACATCAAGTCACCACTAAAAATAAGGTGAGGATGAGAATACCAGCAGAGAGTAATAAAAGTTGGCCTGATATGATGACTCATTTATATCTTTTACATCATGTGGTGCTTTGCATCATTTACATGGGGAAAAAATGGCTGCGGGCGCAGGAAGCAACATGGGAAGAATTCAAAGCAACAAAGGGTTTCTGATGTTCTGTGAAACGCTCTGCTGGGTGCACTTTGAAGTGTGATGACTTACAGAATACAAGGAGAGGAACCAGCTTTTGAAGGCTGGTTGTTAAAAAAAAAAAAGGACAAAACGCTGCTCTTCTGCCGCTCTTTGTAAGATTGCGCAGCATAATCACAGATAAAGATACTTCCTCTTCCTTTAGATTAGCTCTAAATGAAAATGACCAGATCACTTTATGCATCGTAGACTGAACTTTGCCCATGATAACATCTTCCAGACATCCTGAGCCTCACAAGTGAACATTACAACTTACTTGACAAAATACCTAAATACTGTACAATAACAAACCCCCTCGGTTCCTTAGCTCTTTACCATGGAGGGCAGTACAAACATCACTAACCAGCAACCCCAACTATGGCAAATCCTCAGCAAGACACAAGAACAGTCAAAGGTTCTGTCCAGTAGAGCTGGGAGGTACACTGGTTTGTAACAAAAATGTTTTTGTATTTTTATTATATGAATCTTCTGTGTACCTGCAAACCTACTTGAACAACATCCAGAACATCAAAGCCATCAATAAACAGCTTCACGAAGGACCTTGTTCATCATCAGACAGCTGAACGCACTTGCATGATATAGAGCAAGGCAAGCTAGTGTCTGTTGGAGTTGTTGAGTGTGGTGGAGATGGACACAGAAGGTACAGAAAGAGAAGCTGTGGCAGATTAATAGTAGAGGGTGATGACCAAGAAGAACTTGCACCTTAAAAATGGCCAACGTAGCAAAATTTGTCATTTGTCTGGTCCACACAATGCCCTAACCGTCAGCCCAGATTTGACCCAAATGTGGTTTGCCAGAGGTGGTCCATGCATAGGCCGGCACCACATAAACCAAACCAAACAGCGCCATCATTGCCAAAGCTGGCCCATGTCCAGTTGACAAATCACTTGCCGTGCCAGCTTGACACCAGATCTGGCCCACACCAGTCTGCTGTGTAGGAGACTGGTTTCTGTTGTGTGGAAAAGCTTTGGGTTTAAAAGTTCAGATGTTAATCAAACAGTATTCTGCAAACTCTGTTGAGTTAAAGTTGTCGCCGCGGGCAGTGACACGAGCAATTTGCTCCAAACATCACCCAAGCAAAAGGAAAATATGCAAACTCCACACAGAAAGACCTCTGGTCAGAAGCAGGTATTGAACCCAGCTGTAAGGCATCAGTGCTAACCACTGATCCATCATGCTGCCCGTGTTGAAGGTTCCTCCAGTTTTTCCTTGTTCATCACTCGCTGCCAAAATACATTCATTTAAAA